GTTTTGGGAAGGCTGAGGCAATCGCTGCTGAAGTCAGTGTTGTAATGGTGAATCGGGATTTTTAAATGAAGTGGGTTTGAATACTCTTGACTATTTTGTAAAATCGAGTTACATTTGTGATTGAAGGATTAAAGGGGTGTGTATAGGATTGAGTATGCAGAGTGAATGAAATTTATTGGGTTAATCTAACAGGATAGTCAGTGGATACAAGATCGTAAGTACAAAGGGGTATTGAAGATTAACAGTTTGGGTTGTTCGGGGTTCTCTGTAACGTCTAGAGACCTATCGGCTAGGGCAAAAAAAAGACTTCGACAAGCAATCGAAGAGCATCCGTATAGATTTACGGTACATTGTTGCAGTCGTTTATATTCCAGCAGTCAAAAACTGATAGACTGCTTGACTATCGGCGAATCTCCATACTACCTTCTACAGCTAGACGCCCGGCGCGTTCTCGAGCAAAAAAGCACGTAATACGACAATGGGTGCGTAGGAAAAATCATTGCAGATCGTGGAGAATTAAATGCACAAGAAGCTCTTAAGTTCTTTGAAAGATGTGGAGTTAAACTATCACTGACTACTGCTTATAATCCGGAAGGGAATGCAAAAAGCAAACGCGATCACCCGCCGATTGTGAAAGCATTGGTTAAAGCTTGTAATGGGAAAGTTAAAGAGTGGCCACGGCTATTGTCATTTGCATTATGGGTTGATCGAACAACACGTAGGTCGGTGACAGGATATATGCTAGTAGAACTTATGACAGGTCAAAAATCAATTATGCCGATTGAAGAAAATGTACTTACTTAGAGTATGCTACCATGGGAAGATGGATTGACAAGAGAAGAACTTCTGGCTATTAGGATTCGACAATTGGAGCAAAGAACGGAAGATGTCCAGATAGTATTGGGAAGGTTAAAAAGAGCAAGGTTACAAAACAAGGCGCGATTCGACAAGCAACATTGATTGAGACCTAAAGCAATCGAAGAAGGTGACTGGGTACTTGTTTATGACAATAGTCCGGATAATCAACATAGTACTTTGCGGAAATTTTTAAAACGTTGGTTTGGACCATATGTAATAACAACTGTTCATGATAATGCGACTTACTCATTACGGGAGTTAGATGGTACAAAATTAAAAATACCAATTGCAGAAAAGCGAGTAAAAATATTTAAACGAAGACACGCGGAGATGAATATGGAAGACCTTAATGAAGGTATAGAGATTCTGCAGCAAGAAGATGAAAGTGATTTGTATAATGAAGTTGACAACGACGAACTAGACAAAGACGTAGATGATATATTTTGAACCAAACAGCAATTAGGTAAATTGGTGCATACCGGAGGATGCACACGTTCAGAGGGGGTGGATGTCATGTTGTAACACGAGTATACCGTGAAAATATAAAGAAAGGGGACTTTTATTAATATTCAGTTACCTAGAATATTGGGAGCAATGACCAACTCCAGTGCAAATACTGAGTGGCCAGGTTCAGTCACCACGTTACAGTCAGCCGGGGCATACTGAAATGCTCCGTTCGATTCCAATAACGGGAGTCAGCAGGAAGGGAATGGACCAATTCACACGACGGGTGAGCTTAGTTCAAAGAGCCAATTGGATCCAATTTCAAGAATCCAATCCGGGTCTTCTTACCCAATATGAGACCTGAATTGGTCGGGCAACCCAATGCAGTCTAGTTACGAGAAAATCCAGGTCTTACTACGGGCCTCAGCCAATCTGACACGAAGGACCAATTTGATCCAATTACAGGGACATCCGGGTCTTACCACTGGACTCTTAGCCAATATGAGACCTGAATTGGTCGAGCGACTCAATGTCGACCCAAGTACGGGGTTTCGATTCTGTTTCAGGCTGTCCTATTCTTTGTGCCGTTTCAAGGAACGTTGTTTTCGGTAAAAAGGTCTCTTAAAGGTAAAAATGGGGGACAAAGCTCTGACGGCGAGAGCCAATTTCGGATCCAAGCTCTGACGGTGGGAGCCAATCCCGGATCGAAGATGGAAGATTGAAGAAATTCAGAGGATAAGGTTAGGAGGAGAATAAGTTTTGGAGAGTTTTTTTTTGAAGAAGAGGAGAGCTAGCTTCATGCTTCGGGCGGGAAAGAAGACAGAGAATTGGGTTTTTTTTCTTCATAGGGTTTTGGGAAGACTGAGGCAATCGTTGCTGAAGTCAGTGTTGTAATGGTGAATCGGGATTTTTAATGAAGTGGGTTTGATTACTCTTGACTGTTTTGTGAAATCGAGTTATGTCTGTGATGAAGAGTTAAAAGGATGTCTATAGGATTGAGTATGCGAAGTGAATGAAATTTATTGGGTTAATCTAACGAGATAGTCAGTGGATACAAGATCGTGAGTATAAAGCGGTGTCGAAGATTAGCAGTTTGGGTTATTCAGGGTTCTCTATAATGTCTAGAGACCTATTGGCCAGGACAAAAAGAACTTCGGCGAGCAATCGAAGGGCATCCGTTTAGATTTACGGTCTATTCTTGCAGTCGTTTATATTCTAACAATCAAAAACTGATAGACTGCTTGACTATTGGCGAATCTCCATACTACCTTCTACAGCCAGACATCCGGCATGTTCTCGAGCAGGAAAGCACGTAATACGACAAAAGTGGTGAATCCCAAAAGTCAATTAAAGACACCTATGAAGTCAAAGCAACGTCTATGGAGCTTTTAGGAAGCTTCTATATTAAATACTATAGAATTAACTTACTTTTACCTACTTTTACTTACTTCTACCTATTTGTATATGTAATTACTAGCTTACATGAGTATATCCGTGACAATTACTTATATGCAATTTTACGATTATATTCTTCAATTACATGTAGGTGAAACCTTGATTCTTTTTATTAACATACTTATTTAATAATATATAGTAAGAGTGTATACATACATAGAATATAACTGCTTCAAGTTCATTTGAAAAAATCAAAAATATATATGAAAAAATCTTTATTGCAAACTCTTTATTGTACTTAATGTCAAAGACTCTATTTTGACAAAGTTAGGAAATTCATTCATTCTTCTATCTTTGTTCTTAAGAAGGAATGTGATATCATAAAATTAACTAACATTGTAATTTATTTGATTCCACATAAAAAATAAAACACACATGGATGTATTAATAAATATTTTAGTTCTTAAGTATTTGACTTTATATTTTAAATAGAAACAATAAAATTATCTCATTCTTAAATTTTAAAAATATCATAATCTTCTTATAAAATTAAATAGATTTCTCTTATTAATTATTTAGTTCTATATAATTTTTAATAGTCTTTACATAAAATTAAATATTAATTTTTTTAATTTTAAAAGATGGTATGAAATATCTTATATTAGATTAAAATTTTATGAATATTAAAATTTAAACTTAAATATTATTAAAAATAAATAATTATTTAAATGGTTTAGTTCTAACCGCAATTAATTTTTTAGATCTTCTGTTATATATATATATATATATATATATATATATATATATAGATACATTAGTTGTAATTAAAAAGTCATATAAGTATTTTTTTGAGTCTAAAATTTTATAATATATATATTATGTATGATGATAAATAATCATTTAAAAATATTATTAAAATTAAAAAAAAAAATATTTGTATTATTCTTTGATTACTTAGTCTATTCAATAAGATTCTAATATAACATATATTTGTTCTTAAAAATAACTATCTTTAAGTAATAATTTCTAATATTCTAAAATTTAATTTGAGAATGTAATGTTGTTGATCTTTTTATTTGCTATAATAATATTACTATACTTTAAATATGGTAGTTGGTGCTAAAATTTTAGAAGAGAGTCTTAATATGTAGTAATACTATTGAAGATGAGTACTATATTTCATGGCCTAAAAAATTTATTAATATAAATTTCTTAATAATAATTAAATAATTTAGTGGTCTTTCTCTTTTAACACAAGACATTATTGATGAGTAGAAGAACCTTCTAACTACCTTTGTGTAGAACATATGGTAGAATATGTTATTAAAACTATTCAATAAATTTTAAACTTCATTAACTTATGAAACAATATAATTGCTTCTTATAGAATATATCATCCAAAAAACAAAAAAAAAAAAAAAAAAAAAAAAAAAAAAAAAACTAACATAATATAAACCTATATTATTATAAAAAATAAAAATAAGTAGAAACATATTAGATAGATAATATCTATTTTAAGCAGTTTCAAATTTTTTTATAGATATGCTTTAGATATTTAGACTCCTATAGATATGTTACATGGCTACTGAATCTTGTTTTAGAAGTTTTTTTTATTAGATTTAGAAAATTGTGCTAAAAAAAATCTACAACTTTATTCTTAAGTATCAAGACTTATGATCATTTAAAAGCTTCTACAAGACCTTTTTGGTTGTGAATAATTATGGAGGCAAAATTGAAGCCATCTTCAATCTTCTGAACACATTTCTTGATTTGAGTCTTGATTAAAGACTTTCTAATTTCTTTAAAATTGACAATAGTCATTCTAATTTATTTTATACTTTGCAATTATCTTTTTTTTTATTAATTTGCTTATTTCAATTATATAAGATTATATTGTCTCTTATCATAAAAAAATGATTTGGTACGTTTCATGGCCTCTTCTTACTTTATATTATATTCGAAGGCCAAAGCTTTAAAGGAAGGATTTTTCCTCATCAAGGAAGTGACTTGAATATGGCTTTTAAAACTATGGCTTTTTAAATTGGGTTTCTATGCAAAAAAAGACTCCTTAAGGTATGTTTGAATTTTTTGATATTATAAAAAAAAAAAAAAAAAAAAAAAGAAACTCTAATATAATTTTTTTTCTTTACAATTTAGCAGATTTTTTTTTAATAAATATGCAATAAATCATAATATATAATTTATATAGTTTAGCAGATTTTTTATTTTATTTTATTAGAATTTTGTTTCTTTACAATTTAGCAGTATAAAAAAGTACAAAAATTTGGATATATACAGGAAAATACGTTGAATTTTAGTGGTTTCTAGGAACAAACTTTGCATAGCATTGTAAATTGTTCCTACTCACACCAGAGCTTGTAAAATAAAATGATTTTTACACTGAAAGTCTATTCTGTTGCAACTTATAAGTTGCTCCAGTAGGGCTGTGAAGCAAGTTACTAATTCTCTTTGGTAGAGTGGAGTCCGTTTGATGCACAATGGGGAGGTGACCAGTTGGGTTAGAAAAACCAGAGTCGGGATGGTAACAAGAGGAAATTCTTATACTTGAGACATTTCAAGTGTAGTTATCAAAGTCCACCCATGTGAGCAAGGCACACTCAAATGTTGATGGAATACACAAACCTCCAACTGATAAAAACTCTTTCACGATGGACCAAATATCAGAACAAACACTTAACCAAGTGCATGACCCCAGTCAGGCCACACAAGTTGACAGGGTTGTGTACTACGCACAGAAAACACCAAGAGTTGAGGTGAGTAATGTACGCAAGGTTGCTAAAAGTGATTCGAGGACTTCTTCAAAGGCATATGGAGGGAAATCAATTTAAAATTTCATGAAAGCTTCACGATTCAATCTGCGACAACAATACGTAATAGTCAGTATGTGAATTTGATAAGTATGCATTGATTTGTACCAGGAAATGCGAATTGTAGATTGTCACAATATTGCGGTTACAGAATTCAAAATGAATGTCAACTTATGCATACTTCTCCAGATCATTCATATTTTCATTCTCGTACTCAACATTGCGATAATAGATATCTGCGTGGTGCAAGGAATGATTTCTTCATGGCTGGGATTGAGTGTTCTAAGGTTCCAAGAAGCAAAAAGCCTGACAATTGACCAAATTTACTCAACAAAACAACATAGTAACGAAAAGTAGCATTCACGTCTGCAGTGCTAACTGCCGACCTTGCTGAGTTCTTTGGAACACACAGATAGGTTACTTGCTATCACGCTTTTGTCCAAAAGATAAAGGCCGCGCGTTCCTCATTCATTCGTAGTCATGTTTCAGAATTTTGGGATTTCCAAACACCAATTCCAACGGTCCGCGTGGACATTGATGTTTCATTGAGAATGTCAACATTATAGGTGGTACCTGTGAGAGATTTTCAGAGAGTGATGTTGCAGAAGCAATTCAAAGAGTGCTGAATTTCCCTGAACATGAGAACTTGTGAGCTAGCATTCCTGCATTAGATTTGTCAGCATGTCTTAGTTAGAACCTGTTACTATGGTAATCATCACAACGACAACCTTCTCGTCGTAGAAAAATGAGATTACTCACTTTTTTCTAGATAGTGTGAACCGCCCTCCAGTATCGGAAAATTAGTATCTGAGCAAAATTACAACTGTACTGTGAATTGGATGTGGTACCTTTTGACATCGGCTTCTATCATCCACATATGCCATTAGGTCAGATGAAATTGTTGAATTCCATTCCACTTTTATCTTAAAACATAGACCTAAATCTTTTACAGGTGTTCATCCAATTATTACAAAGTTCCAAGTTTCTTACCCACCAGTATCATCCCAGTGCTCCACACTCTCGATTTGGAGTGGCTTGCTCCAATCAGACAGAGTGCTTCAAACAATAACTTCCCACGCACTTGAAAGGTCTGAATTCAGTGGTATCAACAAATGCGTTCGCTAAACATAAAAAAACTGCACGAAAGAAGACTTAAAATTCATGAATGATCAACATATTCTTCTTTGCTAAATAGCATTTTGAAACTGGCAAGCTTGAGGAGGATTTGGGCTCATCTATACGAACAGTCCATAAGATAGTTTACTTCCAAATTTGTCTTGGTCGCTTCAAAATCATTCACTGCACATCTGATATGGAAGGGATATATCTCAACCTCAACGCTCCAGTCATTGAAAGAACTAATATGAGATAACTGTCGTGGTCTGCATGTTAGATCGAAACCCTGACATATCCTAAAACGTTCATTCCCCTTGTCAAGTTCAGGACTTCTTACTGTCAGCAGTAGTACAAATGCTGAAGTGAGTAGCTGTAACATCAAATTATAGCAGAATGGACGACAGCATTTACAAAAAGCTAAACGAATATGGACATAAAAAATTTGCTACTCTACAAATGTGACTAAACTGTTTTCCTAATGTAGAGAAAATGTATATAAAACTGTATGTGTGGATCCACCAGTCAAAAGAGAGAATCAGATAAGAAAATTCAAAAACTAAGTTCAGAAAGAGAAGGATAGTCAGGAGCAGGCATACCTGCTGAAGCATCATTGTCTACTGGGGTTGCACCCCAGCCGTCATCACCAATTGTTTCAGTTTCTGATATCAAGCGCGATGCGAGAGCTCACATGAATCATTGATAAAGAATCCAGACGCATGATACAGGAACAAGAACTTCACAACAAAGTGATTGTTGATAATTTTCAGCCAGAAAAACATCAGTCATCCAAACAGCACTGTGAGTTAGTACTTGGGTCAAAGATGCATCGACTTTCGATGCGATTATCGTCTTGGGGAAATCTCCATTTCGCGCGTCAGAGCTTCTACAAGCTTAGAGCAAAACGCTAATTGAAGACGTTGGGGTACACAGGACGGCAGGCGACCTGGATTAGACACAAAATGTCTGGGGAGACGAGCTTTTATTCCATCCCTCATGTGGAATAATATATTTGTCAAACACATCTCCGGTTGACTACCTCCAACCGGAACGCCAAGTTTTCATCCTGGTACGTGCACCACCTCTTGTGATCGGCTTCAGTTTGGCATGACAAGTACTCAGTTGTGATGAAGAAATAGCCGAATCCAACATTAGTGTTCCGAGACTTCGTGTCCTCCACTAAGATCGAAGTTCTGAACGATTTAGAAGATGCCCAGGAATAAGACTTCCAGCTGGAGGAATGCTGCCTGGAGATATCTCTGCCCGAATTTTTAAAAGTTGGAACCATTATAAGAAAAATATAAAAACCGACTCAATCGGAAGACGGGGAAACCACGACAAAACTTCCCTAACAAGTGCAATTTGCTTGTACTGCACTCCTCTCCCAGCGTTCTCGTGTCCGCATCCAGAAAAATCCATACGGCGTCGTCTTCGTAAAATCTGAGTGTGTACTGATTATAAAAACAAAAAAGGAGACCTGTACACCTAAGAAAAAGTATAAATTATTTACTACAAGCCAACACTATCTCAAAAACGCACGCCGTAGCGATAAATCCCCTCTAAGTGTTGCAGCAAAACCCTTAAGCCGTATTATTCCTTGAGCGCCGCACTAAAACAGAGCATGTAGAGAAGGATTCTATTAACAAAATTGTATCAGGTCAAAGTCCACCAAAATAGATTCGATTTACAGGCCCAAAGGGGCACCGTAACGAAGAAGCACGCGATGAAACTCGCCGAAACTACTGTTATCGGCAACAACAGGTGTGAACTTGTTTGAGTGGGGGCTTTGTACTTTGTGCCCATACGGGAACAGGGAACAGGGTCAAGGGAATGTGCTGCAAGGACCCTACCACCGCTTGACCCTGTCACCACGGATGGAACCTTCCTCACCTCTTGGCCTCTACAGAAGGGTGGGGTCTATTCCCGAGGGCATTATAATACGTTGGTGGTTTTATATAACAATGGATGCATTGGGGCTCCTAAGGTTTGAAGTTTCTGAAGTTCGAAATTTTCGTTTATATCAAGAAATTTCATCACAGAAAGATTGTGCAATTGAGATGTACTAATCTATATTTGTAGAATTAGACATCTGACATACACTAATGAAATACCGAACATGTGACGATAGGCTTTTAATATGTAAGTAATTTCATGAATTTATTGTTTAATTTAGTTTAATTTAGTAAAAATGGAATGCGATTGTGTTACTTTTTTAATTTAAAAAAAAATTCATTTTGAAAAAGGATTTTTTTTAAAAAAAAATATTCAAAAAATTGCAACCCAATTTCAAAAAAAATAAAAATAAAAAATATCATTTTATTTGGAATAAAGGATCACTGTATGTACACAAAATAAATCTTATGAGATTTTTAAATAGTTATTAAAATATACATTACAATTAGAACACAAGCAAGTAAAATACTAAAACCATTCAAAATTACACCATAATTCTACATCTGTCAAGGACAAGAACTCGATGAAAAAATGATTCAGACAATTGAGCCTTCACTCAAAGAGAGCTAACAAAATATATATATAAACAAGGATATATATTGAAAGAGAAATTGGAATGGCTATTGCCAAAAGACAAGAAAACTAGAGACCCTTGAAACTAGACTAGAAGCAAAAAAGGACTTGAGAAGAGTGAAGAAGTCTTCAATCTTGTCTCTATATATACAATCTAACTATGGACTACGTGGCGATGTTCTATAGGACCTCTAATATGTGTTGACTTTGTAGAACACATGCCTTGACTTACAAGGCAAGTTTTTCTACGTGTGGGCCACAAAATTAGCTTGATCTTCAAGCTAACAATATGTGTGGCACATGGCCAACTTGTTGACCACATTTCTAATCCAAAAAATCAATTTAAGACACCTATGAAGTCAAAGCAACGTCTATGAAGCTTCTAAGAAGCTTCTATATTAAATACTATAGAATTAACTTACTTTTATCTATTTTTACTTACTTCTATCTATTTGTATATGTAATTATTAGCTTATATGAGTATATCCGTGACATTATTCCTCCTTCTAGGGACGAGTTCCACGAGGAGCGGTCATCATATGTTGACGAAATCTATGATGCGACGCATTGTATTCGCTACATACTCTGATCTTTGTTCTCTTCAAAGATGATTGATAGGGCGTCTCAACCATCAATAGTGTCCCATACCAGGGCAGGAAGACCACCCAGTTATTTGATCATTGTTGAGGCCTTCATAACTTCCTTCCAATAAAACATTTCGAATACCATCAAGAGTTGTTCCTACCTCTAGCAAAATCACCAAACATCGAGAGTCTCTTTCCAAATCGTGATACCAAACGCGTTGTATCTCGCCATCTATTCGAGGAAGAACATGTCATTCTTGAAGATCTTCATCTCGATTGCATCGTCTTGAAGATTGTGACAATCGTAATGTCTCATCCGATACGTTAGCAAATAAAGGTTCTTGAGCTGAATCCACTAGTTGTTGGTTCTCCATCTCTTGAGCATCACTACTACAAAGAAGCTACGAACAAGGATTGAAAGTAGAATGTTATCTTGCCTAGATGTTGTTTCTTTTATAAAGAAGGTTTTCATCTTGATTTTGATGGATGTCATCGATGAAAAGCCTCCATCGCCTTTGCTGCATTTGCAAGATTCTTTATTGGCTCCCATGTGCATTCACTAATACCATATCCGTACCAATGGATAAGATATTTCAATTTATTTTGGTGCTGCCTTGAATCTAAGACTTTCTCTACTTCAAACTCTTCATTATTGTCTACTTTTATAGGAGGAGGTAGAGCTTGTTGTCTTCTTGATATGTCCACTGTCTTGTAAGGTTCAAGAAAAGACACATGGAATACTGGATGGATTTTCATTGACTTCGATAGATGTAAACGATATGCAACTGGATTGATTTGTGCAGAAATAGAAAATGGTCCCAGCCTTTGATAGTCCAACTTGTCACAGGGACGAGTAGTCTTGATATTGTGACGAAGTAGCCATACCTTATCACCCAAGAAGAATGGTGGTTGTTCCTTTCAATAGACATCCGCATTGACCTTTTGTTGTTCTTGAGCCTCTTTTAATTGTGCCTTCATCGTTGTATGTAGCTCTGATAAATGAATCGCCAAATCTTTTGTAGTAGGATTATCAACTTTTGAAAAGTCAAAAGTATCAAGTCATGGATGATAACCATAATTAGCAAAGAAAGGTGTTTGTTTTGTAGAAGAATGTACCGTGTTATTGTAAGCAAACTCTGCCAATGGCAAAAGAGTTGTCCAATCATCTTGTTGGTAGTTAATGGTACATCTTAAATATTGCTCCAAAACTTGATTAACACGCTCCGTTTGTCCATCAGTTTGAGGGTGGAATACCGAAGATAGTTTTATATCCACTTTTAGAATCTTGAAAAGAGTCCGCCAAAATCTTGATACAAATTGAGTTTTCCTATCTGATATAATATCCTTGGGTAATCCATGATAGCGATAGATATTGTCAAGAAAGAGCTTACCTGTTTCTTCACCTGTGATAGATTTTGTACATGGCACAAAATGTGCCATCTTGGTAAAACGATCTACTATCACAAATATAGAATCATAAAAACCTGAGATTGGAAGATCCGTGATGAAGTCCATAGAAACAAAAGACCATGGTTGTTCTGGAATGGGTAATGGCTAAAGAAGTCCAAAAAGTCAATGACAAGGAGTTTTTGATCTTGAGCAAACATCACATGATTGTATAAAATCTTTGACTGCCTTCCACATTTGAGGCTACCAAAAATCCCTAGATATCAGCTCCAAAGTCTTATTATATCCAAAATGTCCTACTGCTGGGAAGTCGTGATGAGCTTAAAGAACACGTTGTCGTATTACGTGCTTTCCTGCTCAAGAATACGCCGGACGTCTGGCTGTAAAAGGTAGTATGGAGATTCGTCGATAGTCAAGCAGTCTATTAGTTTTGGCTTCTGGAATATAAACGACTTCAACAATGTATCGTAAATCTATACGGATGCTCTTCGATTGCTTGTCGAAGTCCTTTTTGCCCCAGCCGGTAGGTCTCTAGACGTTACAGAGAACCCCGAACAACCCAAACTGTTAATCTTCAATACCGCTTTGTACTTACAATCTTGTATTCACTGACTGTCTTGTTAGATTAACCCAATAAATTTCATTCACTCCGCATACTCAATCCTATAGACGCCCTTTTAATCCTTCAATCACAGACGTAACTTGATTTCACAAAACAGTCAAGAGTATTCAAACCCACTTCATTAAAAATCCCGATTCACCATTACAATACTGACTTCAGCAGCGATTGCATCAGCCTTCCCAAAACTCTACGAAGAAAAAAATCCAAATTCTATGTCTTTCTTTCCCCAACCTGAAGCATGAAGCCCCCACTCTCTAATCTCCTTGATCTTCAAAAAAACCTCCAATGAAAACAGAACTAATAACCTTGCAAAAGCTTTCCCCTTTCTTTTTATTTTCACTATATACTCGTGTTACAATACGACATCCACCCCCTCTGAACCTGTGCATCCTTCAGTATGCACCAATTTATCCAATTGCTATTTGGTTCAAAATATATCCTCTACGTCTTTGTCCAGTTCGTCGTTGTCACCTTCATTATCCAAATCACTTTCATCTTCTTGCTGCAGAATCTCTATACCTTCATTAAGGTCTTCCATATTCATCTCTGCATGTCTTCGTTTAAATAATTTTACTCGCTTCCCTGCAATTGGTATTTTCAATTTTGTACCATCTAACTCCCGTAATGAGAAAGTCGCATTATCATGAACAGTTGTTACCACATATGGTCCAAACCAACGTTTTGAAAATTTTCGCAAAGTACTATATTGATTATCCAGACTATTGTCATAAACAAGTACCTAGTCACCTTCCTCGACTGCTTTTGGTCTCAATCGATGTTGCTTATCGAATCGCGCCTTGTTTTGTAACCTTGTTCTTTTTAACCTTCCCAATACTATCTGGACATCTTCCGTTCTTTGCTCCAATTGTCGAATCCTAATAGCCAGAAGTTCTTCTCTTGTCAATCCATCTTCCTATGGTAGCATACTCCAAGTAAGTACCTTTTCTTCAATCGACATAATTGATTTTTGTACTGTCATAAGTTCTACTCGCATATATCCTGTCACCGAGCTATGTGTTGTTCGATCAACCCATAATGCAAATGACAATAGCCGTGGCCACTCTTTAACTTTCCTATTACAAGCTTTAACTAATGCTTTCACAATCGGCGGGTGATCGCGTTCACTTTTTGCATTCCCTTCCAGATTATAAGCAGTAGTCAGTGATAGTTTAACTCCACATTTTTCAAAGAACTTACAAGCTTCTTGTGCATTTAATTCTCCAGGATCTGCAATGATTTTTCCTACGCACCCGTAACGGCAAATGACATCTTCAAGCAAAAACCTACAAATCCCCTCTGTAGATTTTGTCCTCAATGCTCTTCCTTCTACTTGATTTGATAAATCTTTACGAGCTAAAACCAAATATCTCATCTGCCATAAGTCAACCGGCATAATAACCAAACCAACAACCCATTTAAAATGAATGGCCAGAGGATACGTAAGATGAAGACCATCTCGATGTCGGATATTAGAATACGTTTGACAGATTTCACATAACTCTACAAATGAAAGCACATCTCGATACATATTTTTCCACCAATATCGTTCCTTGAGTTTAGCAAAAGTAACCCAGATTCCTCTATGCCTTGCCCATAAACTATCATGA